ATATATATATATATATATATATTTATGCGTATAACTAGTCAATAATTCTATATGTTATATAATTAGTAACGATGTGAGATCTGAGAGCACGACTTCAAACTCAATCGACACGGTTCCATGGGAAACGCACATTCTAATATGATGATTTTTGGTTTTGAATGAACGAAGTCTAAAAGTACAGTGCCGACGAGACATTAGACGCGTTAAAGCTATATATTGTGCTAACTTACAAAAAATAAAAGACGCGCGTGAGAGATACAGTGCGAATAAAAGAATAGCAGAATTTTCTCTTTTTCTAAGTACAACTGAAATAATTCTAAGTATTCAGGCTGAAGAAAATGTACATTTGTCTTATCGTACATTCAAGTGACGCACATATCATACTTTGTTGATTGCACACCGAGTTTCAAAAACTGAGATTATAACAATAACGAAGACAATAGATAAATATTAAGAAAAATATGACAAAGAGCAATTGACGGATTTTGAAACATATCGCTTTACATAATTGCACGAGAAAAAAATATAGACACATAAAAAACATTGCTTCTGGTAAGTTACACGAAAATTGTACTGATTTCACTTATTGTTAGTCTTAATAGCATAACTTCTCGAAACGGTAAATACATTGCAGTGCATGTCGTCAACGGAATGGATTCGCTGGGAAACAGGCCGTGTCCATGAAAGTTCGTCTTAAATAATAATGTGAATATCCCTACTATATAAATTATATATCGTATAAAATAACGTTCTTTAAAAAAAAAAAGGTAAGCGCAGAACTGTTGCATAATACATTAAAAACCTGGATAAGCTTCATCGGCAAACGAAATAAAAGTTGCGAGAGTGTGCGCAACGAAATTGTATAAATATACAGTATATTGGCTAAAAAATCGTAACTTTTGTTTTGCTATTTACATTCTGAATTTGATTACTGCAGTTGCTGCATTTACGATCGATGCACCTACGCAACGTAGTTATAGCGATATTGTTATATCAATTCGGCGTCCTATCTGTTCAAAATTCTCAAGATGGACAATCGAATTGATCGTTAAAATTTTTCACGCTTTTTTACATATCTGTCTTTTCCGTTGATGTCTTATACATCTTTCAATTATCAAGAAATTATTGAAGCCTAGTAATCGACGTTTATCTCTAGGTTCTTAAAACACATTCGGTATTAATTTGCAATGTTTTAAGCATAATTAATTTCGTCCAAAGATCCGTTAACGCTAAATGCTCGTCGTATTCACTCATATATTCCAATGCAATTCTTTACCAGAGACCCATATAATAAGGCACGCTTTTTTGCCTAAGAAGGCACTGAAATATAATGTTTATACTTACGTACAGCTATAAATCGCATTGCATACATGTAAATCATGCAAAGGAGGGAGATATATTTGAAACGAGATACTATTGATCGAAGATTATTGTGCATCAAAATTTATACAATTTTTATATTTTATAAATTTACAGTTTTCCTACACTTTGCCAAACAATTCTTTAATCTATTTGGTTCTTTTTGAAAATTTAACTCGCTGATATATCGTCAATCATAAAAATAAATTTAGTCCTTTCCTCGCACTTTCCATTCGTGTATTCGAATTCACGTTTTGCTTATTTCAGCGATGATACAACCATAGTTTTTGTTTCTCAAACGGAAATTCCCTGAGTTCTTTGATTTCATTTTCTTTAGTTCTAATATTCGAAATAAACTTAAAACTGCGGATGGAAGTAATGATTCATTAAGTAAGGATAGATATAGTTGTTCTTTCTTTTTCTTTCTTTAAACGCAAGGATATTTCCAGTTTCATTTCTAGAAAAGCAAAGCATCTCTCAAACATTGTAACAAACCAATTCAATTTAATATACGTCCTCCTCTTAATAACAATAATCTATATAATGAAATCTATAATGAGTCGAATAACAATGAGATTAAAATAGTACAAATTGACTTAAAATTTTCCGCGAGCGAATATTAAATCGCGTTCGATCCGTATCCACCGGGATCAACTAAATCTACATTCACTTCCAAAGGATGGACACACGGTGATGATAGTCCTGTAGCTTGCGTCTCATCCGCACTTTGTCCGCCCGATGCGCACAGTTCGAGACAGGACGTCGAGGTTGCTTGAAACATATTCAGAGTCTCGTTTGCACTCATTCTCCCGGGGTGATTCCACAATCGCGCAGTCTTGGCTAGCGGCTCCGTCGTCTCGACGTCGTTCGCGTGCGACCGTTTGTGTAGTAGATTCGATCTTTTCCCCGCGGCCAACGACGACGTAGCGATCGGTCGCTGATGCGCAGCCCTACGGGGGAAACGTTTGGGAATAGTGATGGCAGGAAAAAGGAAGACGGTGCTAGTACCCATACTCCATCACATTTTTGCGTGTCTCACTGTTGTTTTAAACAAAAGAAATCTGAAACTGACGCGTGACATAGGCACCGATTTTTATAATCAATCGAGAAAAAGAAAAGATTAGATAGAGACAAACTCTGTTTGCTTTTCACTTTTAACTAGACAATATTTAGCGTACTCTTCAGATAAAAATGAGAAGAATGACGATTGATAGCGATTTCGAATATAAAAATAATTTTCTAAATAGATGCTAACACATTCTAAGATAGCAGCAAAGGAGTCGTTAGCTGGTAGAGAGACGATGTGATCGCTATATGCCTGATTAATCAATTCGTCGTTAAAATTTTTGTGTATCTCTCTGCTGCTTCATTCTCGATCACATGTTTTCGAATAACAACGACAAACGCACCTATGGGCGCTCGAAAGAAAGAACAAACAAGGGCGAGAGAATTTCAGAAATCGAGAAAAACATAACCGGATAAATATATTAGATATAGCTCTATCCATTGC